CGACAATGAAGACCTTACTCCTCGGGAAATTGCAGCTTCCATTTATCCATATACGTGTTCTGCACTTTTCTCCAATCTGATTATGACTCAAGGAAACTGCACCAGTGAGTCTGACCTAAATTTTCAGAAGTTACCAGTAGGCGAAGCGGTAGCAAAGTCACATTTGCATTGTCAGTGGTATCCCTTACGCCTTCCTTGCTTCAGCAGAATACTGATTGAATTTTGCGCAGAAGATATACTATAATACTACAATTTTATTTGACAAATAATTAAAGGTGGTCAATATCAATTTGAAATGTACAAAAAACATATTTCATTAATTCATAGAATGATTGTTCAGTACAAACGTACCAACTGAAGTTGGCTCTGTTAGAAATCAAATAAATAAGCTAACTTCACTCGGTGCGTTTGACCTGAATAACTCAGTAGATCGTATAACGAATAAACGTCACGAATCGTCCATTGATATATATAAACATTATATGTATATTCATTTGTTTTACGTGGATATTATATATGTGTGTAGATGATGTATGTACAATTTAATAGCACTGTTGCAGACACATCTTATCCAAGCTTAAGGCATAAGGCATAACAAATATTATATATGCAATATGAAAAAAATCAATATGGCGCCAGGTAAGATGAACGATATAAAGTGACTCTAAAACGTACGTTATATTTTACGCACGCTGTTCTTGGAAGTTCCCATGGGTACAGTTGAATGTACCACGCATTATAATTATCGTGAAATGTTTATTACATGAGTAATGAATCAGCCAGGAATGAACAATAAACTTCTTTTTAATCATCCACTCGAAGCACACCGATAGATAAAGTCAATAAATGACGAAATTATTTATTAAATTACGTATATATACGTTATTTTTATTTACTACAATAAAGTGACTTATTAGTTTTTTTTGTTAACGTTAAAGATACAATATTAAATTTTTAAAGATGAATTCATGTCTTTCAGACACCTCAAGTGCTTTCGTGGGTTATACAGACTATCTTCTGGCCGAGTTTTGTAAAATAAACGATAGATAGATAATTGTCGTATCGATTGGTTCTTATATAGGTATATGTGCCACATATGATATTCTTATCGTCAACATAGATATAGAATAATGCAATCTACAAAAGCATAGTCAACGTCAATCTTCTGCATTTCCTGAAAGCCACAATTTTCTAATCGATAGCAACGTATGCTACTAGGAACATGATATTAAATGCATATACGTATCGAATTTATTGATTTGATTACTACAAATAAGACTATTGTTAAGTGATGTGTCTTGTAAAGTTAAAAAAAAATTTGTTCATTTGATTCAAATTACAATCCATTTTGAATGGACTATTTTGTATTGTTTTTAGGGGGAAAAAATGAGGGTTGGAGTCTGGGAAATCGCAGAGAACACATTAGTGAATGCGACAGACTGACTAGCGACCGTGGTCCGAGGTTGATTAATTTCCATGGTTGAGAAAACAGTGAGGCGACAGTGCGCGGCCACGGGAAATAATAACGTATTGTCGAAGATTGCACTGCAGATGTTTCGCTCAAACAGCAGGTGATGTGATATGCTTCAATAACTTCAAACTATTTCTAGATATTTGACTGACCAACCAATCAGCTTCCTCCGTTCTCATGACAGCGTGGAAGTGTTGGACCTTCCATATATTTCCCCTTAATATATAACTTCATTGTAACTTCATTGTAGAATATTAATAATAACCTATTTTTATTCAATCGAGAAAACGTGTAATCGGGTTATATTCCTGTCCGATAAAATTATTCAGTGCTTATTTTATTTTAGAAGGAGAGGTGGCATTATCTTTTCAATATTAACGAAGTCGATTACTCAATTTACACTTATCGATTGAGCCCATCATTATTTTTGATTACTTATCCTCGTGTCGTGTATAATGTACTACGATGTACTATTTGATATATCATTATAATGTATTTATTGAACAATGAATACATTTAGGTCTAATATATAAATTCAAATATGACAACGCTACTAGCACATCTGGCGGCGTGATGGCGTACTAACAAGTAAACTCGTGCGAAATATCAGACAATGTTGTAGAACGATACGACACTTTGTTGTTCTGTAATAATATTAGTTCTTTTTAAATTTTTATATATTGTAAATAAATGGATATGAAGATTTTCAAAACTTTTAAGGATGCACAAGTACTTTTTGTAAATCTAGTTATAAAAATATACATACTAGTATACCTGGGTCGAAAACTTTTCATAGATCAGATGTTCAAAACGTATAAAATTGGCTTTAAGTATTAACAATTGACAATTTATCAATTAGTAAAATTGAATGGACCGATCTAGTTGAACCCTTAATAAAAAATTGAATTAATAAATCAAACTTATCAGTTGATGTTTTTCATCTTAGCATCACACATCATAAGTAACATACGAATCCGCTAGATGTCGTTACACGTACGTCGTCTGTTTGGCGTTTTCAGTATTCGCCGAACGAAAGATAAATATAAACAAATAGTACCATAATGAACTCTTATATTATCTTCCCCTTTGATTTCATAGTTTGTATTCATAAGTTTTATTTGGAAAATAAGCATTATCTTAATATTATACACGTTCTAAATAAATATCAAATATAACCAAGCGCATCCGATAAAGAAGATCTCTACCAATAAACAATAATTGACTAAGTAACAAACAAAATTTTTCTCCAAATTGTCTTCGTCAATAATATATTTTGCGTGATAAAATGCACTTTCCTAGAATATAAGTGTCTCTTGTGTGGTCACTATATTTTAAGAATATAGCACCACTGACTTTCCGGCTGTGCTGAAGAACGGAAATGTCGAAATGATTTATGATCAATTTCGTATTGCTTTATTTTCTCTGCCTACAACAACCTTTTGATTTTACGAGAATCCGGTAGTAAGTGAAAAAGTATACACAACGCATTTCATCGCCTCACTGAAAAAATTAGTATAACCAAAATATAATCTCATATTTTTACCGTTCCACTTATTAGCAGAGAGTAAACAAACTTGTTAATTATCTTCATTAACACTTGTATTTTTGGCAGATTTAATTGATATATGTATAGTACTATTATCAATACTAGCTTATCTCTACGAATCATCTTATCAGCGTAATAAGAGAACAAAAAAGAAAGGACATCAGGAAAATCAAAGAATTTTGCATGAACCAATCAAATTGAACGATTACAGTTTTCGTAATAAATATTCTAATATAAAAATATTGTACAATTGCGATTGACGCCAGAAGTATAATAATGTAATTGCATATCCATAATACAAGCACGCAAGTGTTAGGAAAATCTGAACAGCAAAATAGTAGTATGTTTTCATTCGTGTTCATTGTTAGTTTCGAAAACAACGGTAGGTTTTGTGAATGAATCGGATAGCTGTTAACAATACACTAATAATGAGTGTAGTAATGGTAATTGCGAAAATACGGATGGTGCATTCGCAAGAGCAGTATAGTTATCATAATTTAATACAAAGTTTCTGAAATTCCATCTACTAAAACGCATCATAATATCCGTCTCGAATAGAGAAATGTATTTTTAGAAAGTTCAGCCGCAAACTTATGTTAGTCACATGAAAAGTGGATTGTGAAATAGAGGTCTGATTCAAGTTGGTAGGTAAATATATGAAAATATATTATAGTGTATTCACCTATCGTCTATAGATACTGATACCCATATTGAAAAATTATATAAATAAGAGGTTCATTTGTTTAACCTTTGAACCATTATAGAGTGAATTCTTGTGACTTAGGATCCAAGCGAAAATGGAAGATTCTAGAAACTTTGTACGCTTATAAGATTATAAAAGTGAAGGAAATCACGAAGAAATTGGAAGAAAGAAAATGGTAGAATAGTGTTGCACTAATAGAAGACTAGAGTAAAGAAGTCTAAGACAAGAGAATCGTAGTTCTGTCGTGGCGGAAGAGAGTGATGGTAGCGCAAAGAGAAGCATGAAAAGAAGTGAATAGAGAGAGAGAGAGAGAGAGAGAGAGGGGGGGGAGATGGGGAATTAAGGGGGAAATTAAAATAATGGGGGAATTAAGGAAAAGAGTGGAAGAGGAAGAAAGAATGAAGAGGGAGGAAAGGATGGAAGTGATGAGAGAATTATAAGGGAGAATGAAAAGGATAGAGGTGGGTAAAGAAGTACAGAAAGGTGAAGCGGAGAAAGAAAAGGAAACCAGGAAAAGGCTAAAGGAGGTGGAGAGAAATATGGCGGTGAAGGAAAAGGAAGAAAGTAGAGAGACTGTAATAATATAGGGAAGAAGAGTGGGTGGGAAGAATAATAGAGAGATGCTGGAGAAGTGAATAAAGACAATAGTTGAGATTTTAGCCTTTCGCGGGCAGTATTATCATCAGTACACTTCCATCCGGAAACCATGAGTATTAATGATAATATTGGCCGCGAAAGCCTAAAATTTTAAATTAAACGCCCCCACAGAGAGGCCATACTTCGGTCAGTAAACTTGTTTACTAAACTTAGGAAGTCCTTGCACATCCAACTATACTCTTTAACATTTTTTAAAAGGTGCTGCGACCATCAGGTGTTACCAAAATGCTTTCTATTAAAAAAAACCGTCCCACCCCTCTCAACGAATCAAATCGATCTTTAGGCATGCCTCATTGAAATTAATCAAGGAATAAATCTGCCATGTTAAGAAAAACCTTGCAGAGACTTCCCGAAAACTTTTGTCGTTGCACCTTTCTCTTTCAACTTCACTGGAGGTTGGGCTATGGGACACACTTGATCGGGTAACACAAGAACAAGCGGTGCACTCTGCCGAGCTAAGAACAAGAAAACAAAAAGAGAAGTTTGAAAAATTAATTCCACTGGTAAACCCCCCAACCCTAACACTTACTGTTAAGAATCTTAGTGCCCATAATCTGTGAGATGCTGAAGTGTCCGTATATGTGAAGGGTCACAATTTTACCATAGCACCCATCAAGATCACCATGGAGGAAATAATTAGTCAGATACAGACAGCCATTTTCCACTTAGCTACACAAACTGGTAATAATTTTAGAAGAAAACACTTCAACATCCTACACAAGCCTTCTAAGAAAAACATCAGCAGAAAGGAACGCAAAGCACTTCTCAGTCTGAGGAAACACGACAAAATAAGCATACTTTCAGCAGATAAGGGAAATGGCACGGTAATAATGGACAAGGAAGAGTACGCTAACAAAATCAATGCCATGCTGAACAACTCATATACATATAAAAAAATCAAAAAAGATCCAACAACGGGCATGGGGAAAAAAACCATCAAGCTAATCAAAGAAGCTAACTTTCCTCCATAATCCCTTAAAACTCTTACCCCTAAAGAATCCTTCCCTCCCAGACTATGACCATCACATAATCCATAAAGAAAATGTCGCCCTTCGTCCAATAGTAAGCAACATTGGTGCCCCCACCTACCAACTCGCTCGTTTACTCACCAAACACCTCCAGTCACTAGTAGGACAGAACAAGTCACACATCAAGAACTCCCTAGACTTCGTGAACAAAATTGACTTCATTAGAACTAGCCCCGATATGATCCTAGTCAGTTTTGACGCGGAATCACTGTTCACGAATGTTCCCATTCCCGACACCCTTGAAATCATCAAGAAATCCAAGAGAATTCCTTCCAAACTCTTTCTGCTAATTAAACACTGCCTAACGTCCACCTACTTCCAATTCCAGGGTGAGTTCTATGAACAAAATGTACAAAAGACAGTAGACCACCACTAAGTGCCTCAGGAGTATACAAAATCCCCTGTTCTTGCGGAAAAGCGTACGTCGGTGAAACCAGGAGGAAGATCAGTACACGGGTCAAAGAACATCAACGGTCTACCAAATACGGTAATTTTTCTCAACCTGCCCGAGTTGAAGATTGGATGGACACTGGACATTCAGTGGAATATGAAAAGATAGAACTTCTAGCTAGTTCTACACGTTACTTTGCCCGAAAACATCTGGAAATGTTGAAACACCCAAATAACCTTAATAGGGATCGAGGATACCA